AATTCAATTTGAGACAACTCTCTTGAATTGAATTGTGTTCTTCTCTTCGATAGTGTAGTCATTGTAAGCGTTTTAATCCATTGAAACACAAGTTTGGATCTTTTGATGTGACAATTGGTTGCCAACAGTTTGCGAATCAGAGAAGGACTCATATGTAGGCAAATGTGGCACACATTCACTCCAGTTGTCACTTGAGTTCTCTGTCAATTGAAAATAACAATTAATTGATTTCAAATTGATTTGCAAACAACGCTTACTTTATTTGGATTTCTGGATAAAAACGACAGAATGAGTGCCCGAATCAATGGCGGCATATCTATGGGCGGTTCCGGGAGTTGTAATTCATCGTAAGAATTACTTTGTAAGCATTGGCTTCTTTGCGGATACGGATAGAATGGATTCAATCCATTGAATAATTCATAAGCGATGGCACCGACGGCCCACAGGTCTGAACTCGAGTAATCCAGTCGTACCAAAAGCCCGCTCTGAGCGCCGATTATCTCCGGTGCCATCAGTGCCCGATTGCCTCCACGACAGACCTCATCGCAGGGAAAAGACAGGGATAACGACGTCAGAGAGAAACCAAAATCAGTGATCACAAGCCACGGGATATCTGAGTTGTCATCAAACGTGAGTAGAATATTATCTGTCTTAAGATCTCTGTGAGTGATTTGGCATTTAGTCAAAAAGGACAGGCCTTCCAACAGTTGCGTCAACAATACAAGAGATGTATGACTCGGCGGTTGACAAGTGGACAGGTATTGCTTGAGTGACATATCGTATCGTTTCTCGACAATAAAAAGGGTCATATTTCTGGCAAAACCACCCATTCTTATGGGCAAAGCATCGGGATATAAATGGAGAGCGCCCTCCAACTCAGGAGTTCGGTCCACAAATACGCCCTTAATGTCCACTATATTCGGGTGCGGAACCAATTTGTGACGTTTAGCCAATGAATTGTCTCCATTGGGCATAAAATCTCCGGCAAAGGGAATGCACTCCTTATTTAACGCATTCCACACATCCTTAGCGTTAGACTCGGCCTCAAAATTAAACAACATTTTGATTGCAAACCAATCGTTAGATACTTGTGGACCGGTTTTGAGTTTTGCCGAATAGACGACTCCATTACATCCCTTTGCAATACACGAACCAAACTCGATGTTATCCAAAGACAAGTCTTGCGTTTTCAATACATTTGTCTTGAACTGCATTTGACGGTAAGAGTGGAAGATATTACGGATCTCTTGACAATTGGTCTCCATTTCGTCGGTTTCGGTCATAAGCGTCGGTCCGTTCGCTTTGACACAAACGCCGACCAAACCTAACGACAGGCCAGTGCTTCCGATGATGGCCTTCGGGTTCACTTTGGACTCGATTCGTGTCAAAACAAATCGATTAATCAAAGTCTTCGGTCCGTTGAGTAAGCTTTGACACAAACGCCGACCAAACCTAACGACAGGCCAGTGCTTCCGATGATGGCCTTCGGGTTCACTTTGGACTCGATTCGTGTCAAAACAAATCGATTAATCAAAGTCTTCGGTCCGTTGAGTAATCTCGCGATCCATACATTCTTCGAGGTGTAAAGCAAACGGGTTTCCGGGTTTGCAATAATGCGGGTCTTCAGGTCAGCCGACACGGAGTGCCACGCGTTGTACGGCTGACCCGATGTTCGCGACAGAAGGACCCGAAACAACACTTTGGTCTTCGAGAGAGTCGACCAAAACATGGATTTGAACGAAACGCCAGACCTTAAGAGTCGCGACTCTTTCAGCAGACCATCGGTTGTCCGAAACAGCGATACAGACATCGATCGCATTGTCGATCACTTTGTCATTCAATTCCTCTACAAATCAATAATAATTTCTATATCTTTGACAAAACCATTAAATCATTACTTCTTTTCATTTCAAATGCAAACAAATATTTTGTTTTCGTTTTAGTGTTGAAAACATTTTCTATATTTAGAGAGATTTTATCGCAT